TCCTAAGACACCTATATTGAAATGCAAAAGCAAAATTCTCTATACACGACATGCACACAGAATTCTAGTCATGTCCAGGACTAAATCTTTCCCGGAACGTACACCACTTTCAGTGTTCGTTTACGATTTATTCAATCTCTTTGCTTTATCTTTAGGTCTAATCACATATTGTTTGGTATCATTGGAAAGGGTATAGAATCATCTGCAACTTTTGCAATAGGTGGTATTTGATTTTATCAGCGGTTAAGAAGTTATAAGCAAAACAATAAATATAATAATAATAAAAAACACGTTTTTTAATATAGTGAGATAAATATTCAGTTTACAACAAAAGTGTAAATACAAGAAAGATAGGGTGTAAAAATATCTTTCAAACAAAAAATAATAATCATCCTGATCCATTAAACGGTTCGCGAAATATACGCATTCAAAAATTGCTGAGCCGCCATCTTGATGACGTCATAGCTCGAAAACGTACCAGGTGCGAACTTGACACCCGAGTGGAAAACACTTCCTAAGACACCTATATTGAAATGCAAAAGTAAAATTCACTATACACGACATGCACACAGAACCCTAGTCAGGTCCTGGACTATAAAATAGTCGATTCAAAGATTACAGAAATACTCACGATGTACATTACAGTTCGATATAATCAACATTTCTTATAAATATTATCATTTTGAAAAACTCATCAAGTTTTTTTAGTGTTTTCTACAATATGTTTCCTACTCATAGCCGCATTAGGTTGTCCATAATAACGATTATAAATTCTTAAAAAACCATTATCCCCATTTCTTCTACTTGGTGGTTTTTCTATGACTTTCCTATGTTTACATAGTTTCAAATCGGCTCTTTAAATGATTGCTCAAGAAATGCAACACAGTGTAAATTCAGTTTTATTTTTAGTATATCAATTTGGCCAGGCTTTCTCAGTTATTTTCCATTGTAGTATTTACGTTTAATATTTTTGAGATGAGGTATAAAACACAAGCTTTTATGGGGCTTCATACACCGTAAAAACATTTGACTGTTGAATAATAAATAATGAATAATGAATAATGAATAATGAATAATGAATAATGAATAATGAATAATGAATAATGAATAATGAATAATGAATAATGAATAATGAATAATGAATAATGAATAATGAATAATGAATAATGAATAATGAATAATGAATAATGAATAATGAATAATGAATAATGAATAATGAATAATGAATAATGAATAATGAATAATGAATAATGAATAATGAATAATGAATAATGAATAATGAATAATGAATAATGAATAATGAATAATGAATAATGAATAATGAATAATGAATAATGAATAATGAATAATGAATAATGAATAATGAATAATGAATAATGAATAATGAATAATGAATAATGAATAATGAATAATGAATAATGAATAATGAATAATGAATAATGAATAATGAATAATGAATAATGAATAATGAATTGAATAATGGACAATGGTCAATGAAAAATGGACAATGGACAATGAATAATGAATAATGAATAATGAATAATGAATAATGAATAATGAATAATGAATAATGTATAATGAATAATGAATAATGAATAATGGATAATGAATAATGAATAATGAATAATGGATAATGGATAATGGATAATGAATAATGAAAAATGAATAATGAACAATGAACAATGAACAATGAACAATGAACAATGAACAATGAACAATGAACAATGAACAATGAACAATGAACAATGGACAATGGACAATGGACAATGGACAATGGACAATGGACAATGGACAATGGAAAATGGACAATGGACAATGAATAATGAATAATGTATAATGTATAATGAATAATGAATAATGAATAATGAATAATGAATAATGAATAATGAATAATGAATAATGAATAATGAATAATGAATAATGAATAATGAATAATGAATAATGAATAATGAATAATGGATAATGAATAATGAATAATGAATAATGAATAATGAATAATGGATAATAAATAATGAATAATGAATGTCGAATAACGAATGAGTGATAAGTTATGAGTGATGGGTTAGGAGTGTGTAGTGATGAATGATAAGCTTTTCTGAGGATCTTAATATTGTACAACACTTATTATTGTGTTGCTCTTTAGAACTTTACGAGTAATGTGTGATGAGTGATGGGTGATGAGTGATGGGTGATGAGTGATGGGTGATGGGTGATGAGTGATGGGTGATGAGTGATAAGTGATGAGTAATGAGTAATGAGTAATGCGTAATGAGTAATGAGTAATTAGTAATGAGTAATAAGTAATGAGTTATGAGTTATGAGGTTACGAATAACGAATTAAATAAGACGGACGACGGACGGCGAACGACGAACGACAAATGATGAACGATGAACATAATAAAAACAAGGAATGCAATTTATTGTTGAGTTGACCGAGCCTTGAGGCACACGGTCAGTGGTCTGCTGAGGCAATTCCCAACCCGTACTTCATTATTCGAATTGGTTTCTATGTGTAATACAACAAACAATTTAATAAAAGATTCATATTTTCTAAAATAAATTAATGTAACTACTGTAAGTATTGAAACGTACAACTTACAGCATAAAGTAGAAATCTAAAAAGGTTGGTTGGAACCGATATCAGTGCATGATTTATACTGTGTACATACAACATTCTCTACGGTACTGAAAGGTGAGTTTCGTCAATGACGCTTAAACGAGCACAGCCCTTTGTAGCTTAGACACATTTAACGGGCAAACATTCTAGAAATTAGTCAAAACGTAAGTTATATAACTCATTGAATTTGTGTAAAATCAAATATTTGCAGACTTAACTTTGACATTAATCTCAAATTTTCGTCAAACTGAATGAGCTTTTATAGAAAAACTATGCATTTCAAGAAATGTCAAAATGTAAACACAAACGTTTCATTTAAATCTTTTACATGTAAAATAAAATAGGCACTGACAATCTAATGTATACAATATGGTAAATTTAACGTATAAACTTAAAACTGTAATTTGTGCTAATATTTAAAAGTACAAGAACAAATGGTAAACATTCTAGTTCTACAAGCTAGAATAAACACTTCTCTAATTTACATCAAAACTAGAGAGAACTGTCAGTTGTTCTTGGAAGAGTTGTTTCAACACTGTTAATTATGTTTGACTGAAAAGATTAGTATTTGCAAGTAAAATTTCTTAACACCACAACGTACATCAATACAAAATTTTTAAAATAATTTTGGTTACTTGTACTGAATTTCATATACTGTAGTAGCTGAATATATTTTTAGTGGGGGTGAGTGTTACTATATCCCGTGTTTAGTTTAAGAAACATATCCATACAGATACAGCAGGTTTTACTTCACAGGGAATGCCTATCTTCTGTTCGTTTATTTATACGAGGTGAGAAAAAAGTCTGGAATTGTGGCATTATTTTGATACCGAAGACCTTTAATTTGATACCAAACTCGACCTTTGCTGCTATTTAAGAATTTTGTCTGACTCTTTGTGGACCGTCCCCCAAAGTGGTTATCTGGTCGTTAATTGGGCAGATGTGTGCGTTACTACCACTAGTAATACGTTTGAACTTTGATATTTTTTATTTAGGCTTAAAAGCTAAAAAAAGAGGTTCCATGCTTAATTGTCATCCTTTATGTGCTAAACCTTTAGTGTAAATCTGATATAGATATTTTAATAAAATTTTGTAGGGTAAAAACCACATATTGAAAACAAGATTATATCAAAGATTTTGCAGAAAAAAATTATAAATAAACCTTTTTCATCACAAAAAAAGTACTAAAGGTTTATTTTATTCAATCAATCTCTAATACTCAAATTCAAAACTGAAACGAGCAAAAGCTTCTCTGGTGAATACGTTTGACAAGTGAATGCCACAAATTGTAAATCTCAGTGATTGGATCAGTGTAACTCTACATCTGTGTGGACTTCAGTTGGAAACATCAAACTCTGTCATTCAATTTAGTTAGCTTTGAGAGAGTCGTGGAAGATTTACAAGTGTTGAAACAAATAGCAAATATTTTTCTACTGGCTAGAGGTTTCCGCTTTGTTAGTTTAGCGTAGTTTATATTGAAATGTAATTCTTTCTAGGTAAACTCGATTTTAGTTTCAACTCTGCAACTCTGTTCTGAAGCAAAACAGTCCATAGGAACTTATCATAAATCCTTCGTCATTAGTTTTAAAGATCATCATTGGATCTTTTCCTAAAGAATTTGTATGTACCGGAAGAGATTTTCTAAGTATTATAACACAATATGCCATATTTAAATACAATACATGAAACTTGGATAACGTAAGTAACAAATCATCTTAAAAAGTGGGTAAAAATACAAATTTTATTTATTTACAAAGTAAAGTTAACTTCATCTGCCACAAGGCTCCGTTAAAGCGGAGAATTTCGATCAGCGGGTTTGTTGTTAATTTACAAGCAAACTTCGTGTTGCTACTAAAATTACTTATACATGGAAATCTCCTACAATCAATAAACCAAACTTTTCGTTAGTAAATCGCTTGTCATACTAAATAAAAAAAATAAAATCTCTTCACAATTATTTAATACCCCCATCACAGCAAACTTTAGAGTAAGGAATTACCATTTGCCTCTAAAATATCTCCCTAAAATGGTCTTATTTACTCCCTATATATGGAGATGAAGATGGAGATAAAGAAATGAGAAATGAGAAATGAGAAATGAGAAATGAGAAATGAGAAATGAGAAATGAGAAATGAGAAATGAGAAATGAGAAATGAGAAATGAGAAATGAGAAATGAGAAATGAGAAATGAGAAATGAGAAATGAGAAATGAGAAATGAGAAATGAGAAATGAGAAATGAGAAATGAGAAATGAGAAATGAGAAATGAGAAATGAGAAATGAGAAATGAGAAATGAGAAATGAGAAATGAGAAATGAGAAATGAGAAATGAGAAATGAGAAATGAGAAATGAGAAATGAGAAATGAGAAATGAGAAATGAGAAATGAGAAATGAGAAACGAGAAACGAGAAACGAGAAACGAGAAACGAGAAACGAGAAACGAGAAACGAGAAACGAGAAACGAGAAACGAGAAACGAGAAACGAGAAACGAGAAACGAGAAACGAGAAACGAGAAACGAGAAACGAGAAACGAGAAACGAGAAACGAGAAACGAGAAACGAGAAACGAGAAACGAGAAACGAGAAACGAGAAACGAGAAACGAGAAACGAGAAACGAGAAACGAGAAACGAGAAACGAGAAACGAGAAACGAGAAACGAGAAACGAGAAACGAGAAATGAGAAATGAGAAATGAGAAATGGGAAATGGGAAATGAGAAATGAGAAATGAGAAATGAGAAATGAGAAATGAGAAATGAGAAATGAGAAATGAGAAATGAGAAATTAGAAATGAGAAATGAGTAATGAGAAATGAGAAATGAGAAATGAGTAATGAGTTATAAGAAATGAGAAATGAGAAATGAGAAATGAGAAATAAGAAATGAGTAATGAGTAATGAGAAATGAGAAATGAAAAATGAAAAATGAGAAATAAGAAATGAGTAATGAGTAATGAGAAATGAGAAATGAAAAATGAGAAATGAGAAATGAGAAATGAGTAATGAGAAATGAGAAATGAAAAGTGAGTAATGAGTAATGAGTAATGAGTAATGAGAAATGAGAAATGAGAAATGAGTAATGAGAAATGAGAAATGAGAAATGAGAAATGAGAAATGAGAAATGAAAATAAAAATAAAAATAAATATTAACTCAAAATAAATATAAAATATAAAGCGAGGAGCTACATAGTTCGACTAATTGCCATTGCAATACAAAAAGACAATGTCGACGACCTTTCGTCAATATTCTTATTCATACAATTATTTTTATTGGTATATTATAAAATTTTTTTAACAATTTAACTTAGACATTGTAATATACGAAAAGGGAAAAATGAAATTTGCAAATAGAATTCCTGAAAAAATGTATTATAAAATTAAAAAAAATATGAAAAAACTTGCTTAGTAAATAAACTTAATTACTTAAAATATATATCCAATCCGAACATTTCTTTATTCATGTATTATAGAAGTAGATTGAAACCCTGATCTTTTAAGAATAATATTTTGACCTCGATATTACTATCATTTATTATAATTGCTAAAGAAATATGTTTAATAACTCCATTTACCCTAATATAATATTGCAACAAGTTTTATATAAAGATTTTATAGCCCGTTTTTAAAACTCGTAGTATGAAAACTCAATTCATGATTTTAAAGCTTCTAAAGAGATATTAGGAAGATAAGTCTGTTGATTTAAAAGAGTGGTTTACGTTTAAGCCCGTTGCATTGCCCTTAAACCTTAAGTAATTGGAAAACTCTACATTCGCTTCCTGAAGTTGTTTTCTATAATTATTTTTTGTCTCACTCGGTTCTAAAAAGATAAGTTATTATCTTATGGTAAGAACGAGAATAGTTTTAGATAAATATAGATAAACCTATATTATTACAAACATGTTAGGATGGATAATTCATCTTCAATTCTTATAGTCCACTTATTAAAACTTTTATTCACAGTCTTGATATACAAAAATTAATTTTCTCTATACAAATATTTAATCGAAATTTACTGAGAAGTAGAATTAAGCTATGGATGAAATTCATTAAGATTCATTTAATTTAATTTAACATCTAGGTTAAACGATAATAGCCTTGACATTTAAAACATAAATTAGAATAAAAGATCTGAAAAACTATTTTTTTATTAAAACGAAGACCCAGTGACAATTATAACAAAAATCCCTGCGACTATGCCATATCTTTCATCACACAGAATATATCAAATTTTCACAATCTTACTTTCCTGTAACTCTTGTTTATTTTTGTGTATGTCGAAACTTTAAAGCAAAAGTGAACATACTCTTCCGACTCAACTCAGATTAGTAAAATTTAACTATTTATAACGGTTAACTATTTCAAAAGATGTAAAGAACTTTGCATGGATAATCTGTGTCTAATAATAATGTGAAACGACATTTAATATGCATGTTTTATCAAAATTACTGTTTACTATATTTTCAAATACTTGACCGTGCAAAGCTATAAAGTGCTATAATTAAGCTTTTAGGACTGAACTAAAAGCTATCAAACAAATTCTTATACCTTTATACGCTTTAGAATCAAAAATAGTAAGCCTTTTAGTTACAACAAATGTATTTCAGCTTTTAAATAATACTGTATATTATATTTTTACATCATTGTGTATAGCGATGCATCTGACTCAAACTGTTGAAGCAGATATATTTTACTAGATTTAAGAATCATACATCATAACCAACAAAATACTTTCACATTAATGCCAATTTATAATCCTAAACTTGGCACAAAAACATCACTATTCAATCAAATAGTTCAACCAAGAATATAAATTACATTTAATAATTATTTTCAAACAAAATCAGAACTGCGAGTGAAATTTGTTTCTCGTGAAACAATGTTAATGATGGGAGTTTGAGGAGGAAAATCAAGTTTCAATTAAAATATTCAATTAAAGAACCTAATTGCCAATTACAGTATTGAAAGTAATAACTTGGTTGACCACTCAGTTTCAGAACACGTGTTCTTTAGGGTATTTGGTTAATACCGTTGAGTAAAATAATCGAATGCCATCTATTTTAATTGCCATGTACATGAAGCTAAATTTGAATCATAATATATTTTTTAATGAAGGAGACAAATTATAATATCTAACAAATTTTTATGCTGCTTATTTCGTAACGATATTATCTTATTCTTTTTTGTCTTTGTGTATAATATGTTGTTTATGCATGTAAATGTACGTAAATACTAAAATTTTACAAAATAATGTTTTCATGAAAAGGTAGAAGAAATAATTACTTCACTTACGTTTTATGTATGGTTTGCTTCCTTTTAATATTCAAGGTTCCCAACAGAGTTAACAAACAAGTTATTAGCGCAAAAACAACTTGTTAACTTTTCATGTAAAAACTGTAGTGCTTCTATTACGTGGATGTTTAAAAACTTAAATTCGAGTGCAGTTTTAAAAACCTTTTTAAAAACTTAAGCCCTATAATTTCAAACATTTTAAATTCAATTTACATTTTAGTTTACTTTTGATAACTACATTTAACTTACTACATTATATATTGTAGAAAGACAAGATAGAATTTATGCATGTTTATATAATCATTAGAAAATTTTTTCGTGTTTTTGTAACTAGGCTCAAGCTTGGGATTGTTTATCACATAACTTCAGGCTAGTTCCAGAGGTTGCAGCATTATCACTAAGATAAACTATATTGGTCCATTGGTTGGATTTGAGCCTGAGACCTCTAGGACCGAAATCCCACACTCTACATTTAGACGAGCTAGATTTTCATTATACATGGTATGTCCAATATTAACGCGTGTCATTAACCAAGTTGGTTTAACCACTCAAAGATTAGGCAGAATTAGTTTTATTAACATTTCTCTTAAGAATTTACTAAAATAAAGATATAAAATAACGCATACTGCCTGTGGAATAATGTAATAATATCCAGATAGAAAGCTCAGTGTGACAAGAACATTACTGCTTGTTCCAGAAATAACAGTCTGTTATTGTACATGTACTGATCATAAACTCTTGTTGGTTTAATGTCACATAAACAACGTGGTTGTAATGTTGGTAATGATGTCCTGATTTTTTACTGAATGTAACTGGATTTTTCATATCCCTGCTGTACGAAGAATTATTGGCTTGATTCAATTTCCCCCATTGTTAGGGATATAATTTTGTTGGGAACTAATATATAGTTTAATTACAAAGTGTTACAACTTTTTACTATGTACGTAAATAAATATTCCTATCGTATAGGTCAATCTGCATGTGGATTAATTGAACATATTATATTTATATTTGTAGAATTGTTTGTATTCATAATTGTTTACAGAGTATAGCTAATTCATTATTTGATAATTTTACATAAAAAAAATAATACCAGAACTTAAGTGGTGTTTAATCTTTCATTATATTTAAAATTGAAATCTTTCTGGAGAGTTAATTTAAATAAATATTGTTATAATGAGATTTCGTAGTCGATTTCCCATGTTATCATATTATATCTGTTAAAACAGATGTATTAATCGCTTACATGTTGACTACCTCATTACCTTACCTATTAATAATGTATTATAAAATGGATAATCGATACAATAAATAATCATGTAATCGCTTTTATTACTATTTCATTAGTGTCAGTCGTTGAATAATTTATGTCATAAAAAATTACGCTGAACCTTATACGTTTTTACTGAAATTAAGACTACATTTATATTTTGACAAACCATAGAATTTTTAACCTAAACCTTTTTCCAACGTTTTTCCATTCATGTAGTAGTATGGATTATACTTATATTGAAGTAATTAACTTTTCAAAGGATTTTAGAATTCCATGAGCTAACACTTTAAAAGATACTGGTTAAAAAATGTCTTCATGTATTTATTTGAATCTACTTCAAGTATTTAAACACATTCAATTCATTGGTAATTTTAATCTTTATCAAATTTTAGACTATAATTTACAATTATAAATATTAAAAAATAACATGTCAAAGTTTAACTCACTTATCTAACTTGAACAATATTAAATTATTCATTTAAGACAAATAAAATCTTCCTGACATTGGCAAACAGAGCTACGTCACATTTCTACAGTCGTTATGTATCTGATGAATGCAATCATGTACAACGCAGAGTTGCAAATGATGTATGAAATGTTAGTTTACATTCTGTGATGCGTTGTGTTTGTATTGCCTAATGAACTGCCTCCTTATTGTCTCTAGCACGTGAAATTGAAAACGAAGAATCCATTTATATTAATATTTATAAAGTAATTATGACACAATAAGTGTTAATGCAATTTATTAAGTTTGAATAATAACTTCAGTTATATTTTAAATAAATATGCCTTTGAAATGTTTGAAATTAGAGTATTATCTTTATAAGTCTTTAAATGCCTCACCTTCAAGTGTACTAAGTTAAAGTGCTTAGATTTTAGACCTCATCGATTTCCTATTTTAAATATTGGCGTTTACGAACTAATTACAATGTAATATATCTTCTGTTATATTCTTAGTAATTAATACTTTACCCAACTTTTATAATTGATTTAGCCTAACGCATTAACTAAGCATTATTTTAGGAATTTATTTGTTTATTTATTTTTATGTATATTATATTTTTGCGCTCACTATCATTGTGTAACTTTATACCTTCAGTGTCCTAACGCCGACACTGTATACCTAGAATGTTCTA